TGAATGACGAAGCACTAAGGGATGAACTCGACCTAGTCGAGGAAATCCGATCGGGCGCAGCCCTGCGCGAAGCCACCCTAAAACAACGAGTGGCTCTACGCCACAACGACAAGGTCATCAAGCGCGAGTTCGAAATCGGCAGTCTGGTATTACACAGGAACCAGAAAGATTCCCGCGAAGGGAAGCTGGCCGCGAACTGGGAAGGACCTTATCGCGTCCACGGCACCACGGGTACCGGGGCATACTACCTCGAGCAATTAGACGGAGAGCCATTACCACGACCCTGGAATGCTGCTAAGCTAAAGCAGTACTACAGTTAGAAACTACCAACACCTGGGACCCTCGACCAACGGCACCCGCGCTCGGTCAACGAGGAAAAACGTCCGACTTCATATAAAGGCTAAGGTACAAGCCCGACATACGGCCAAATCGCACAGCATCGCACGACAAACGATGACGATCGATAGTGCCCGACGTGGACAGCTATACCGAGCACCACCGTCGTTGTACCCATAAGGCAGAACACCCAGCTCGCGATGGGCAGTTCACGCCAAGGGCGAATAGTCCCTACCGGGCTTCACGCCCGACTGAGCAACTTCGCTCCAAATGCCCGACAAGTCGTCAAGAATGACGGGCCATCTGAAAGGGTCAAAGGGAAGTCTCTCCCCTCGAGCACAACACTTAGGTGACTCTGCCCAGCGAAAGAGGGTCGGACACGCATACAAACGGAAGGCGGGCAGACTCGCTCGCCAAATCACAGCCACTTACGGGCACCCCTCGGGCCCATGACTTAGGCTAAAATTTTATGCAAATATATAAGATTTCAAGCAAGGGCAAAACATTCGAAATGTAAAACAGCATTCAGATAAAAATGCCCGAAGGCGACAAAACAATTATAAACCGACCAAGAAGGCCGACGATGTTCATAATGTACAACAGACGGGCACGCAGGCCCAAAGAATACAAATGTCAAAGGCACACAGGCCCGCTATCCTAGTCAGGTTTCCCCAGAACCATCATTGTCGACGACGGGAGAGTCGGGCGGAGGAACGATCACGCCATCCACGATCTGATGTGTGTGGCCGATACCCTCAGTGACCAGACCAGGGTTTAACAAGGAGAGCTGACCGACTGCGGAGTCGAACCCATCCTCTAGAGCACCGACGCAATCTGCCTCGAGGAGCCGGATATGGGCGACCAGCTCTGATCGACTCTTCAAAGCCGCTATGTCCTCCGGCTCGTCCTCGGCAGGTTGCATGGCAGCGTTCATTTCCTCGATCTGCTGGGCCAAGCGTCCGACTTCGGCCCCCAGACGATCCCTGTCTGCCCGGAGAAGCTCCCCCTCCTCGGCCAACTTCCCCGACTTTTCCTTCTCCAGGGTCAACATCTCCTTCTCAGCATCCAGCATCGCCGTCTGCTCGCGGAACATCTCCTCGGAGCGTTCCAGAGCGGTCTTCAACTTTCGCGAGCTCGAGGTAAGGGCCGCTTTCTCCTGCTCGAGTTCTTCGATACGGACAGGATCCCCCCTTCCTCGGATAGCACCAGGGCCATCTCGGCCATTTTCACCAGCCCGTCCATGCTGGCGGCCAGATACATCTTCCGATCCTCTTTACTCATCCTTTTTATAGCTTCAGCCTCGTCGGCAACCACTGTCAGAGGGAATCTCTCGAAGAAACCCTGCTCTTTGAAGCAAGGGGGGAACGCGAAAGACCTAACGGCAATGGCGTCCTCGCCAACAGTCGGACCACTTTCCACACGGGTCCTCTTCCTCTGCATCAGGACGGCACTAGGGTCGACCTCTTCAACTTCTGGGTTCCCATCCGACGCGGCCCCCGAGCTTGGCGGCGAGTCCACCCTCACCGGCTGAGGAGCACTTGGACTGTGTGGCGGGCCCATCCTCGTCGCCTGTGGGGCCTTCACGACCCTCCTGCCTCGCTTCTGGTCGCAAGACAATTTCAAAAGCCTTTCATGTCGACCGGCCATCGAACCTGCACAAAATAAAAGATGGGTTAGTATCGAGCAAGCTCATAAATAAATGACGAGCAAAGAAATTCAAGCAATAAACGACCTAGCAGACGGGCAGCCTGCCTGTACGTCTGGCACTCCACGAGCGCCTTGGTATCAATCGGTCGGGACTCAAACGTTGGGTAACCCTCTGCGTCCAAGATATCGTCCCCTTCCCTCGTAGCCCACCGAGCAGGGTGGAAGCTATCGACAAACCGGCAAAGTGTGGCGTATGCCTCCTCGTCTTCCGAGCACATGTCCCCGGCAGCAGTGTGGTAGTAACCAGTCCCATGCTCGTAGTGCCTGAATATCCAGTGCACAGGGAACTTAGCCGTACGGGCCATCACAGGACTCCCATCGTCGCCCAAAACTGCCTCCCTGTCATCATCGCTTAGGGGCTCCTCCTCCTCGTACATGGATCCCAAAGCCGAGGTGGTAACTGGCCGCACAACGTACCACTTGTCTTTAAAACCCCTTACAGAGTCCATATACATTTTGAAGAGTCTCCTCGACTGCTTCAAGGAGACCCAGATGTGTTTCCCTCCTCGAGACTGGCGCTGCAGATGAAAAATCCGGAAGAAGAGCGCTATGGTCGCCCCGATCCTCAGATAGCGACACGTCAGCTCAAACGCCCGGATGAAGGCGAGTGAGTTTGGATGTAGCTGGGACGGGGCCAACTCCAGGTGAGTGAAGACCCCGACCTGAAAATCAGTGAAGGGCAGCTGCAGCCCTAGATCTTTGAACGTGATCTCGTACATCGCGAAGCTATATTCTGGATACACCGAGCAGATCCTTGAACGGGAAGACGGGCGCATGACAACAAAGTTCTTTTGGAAGTCAGACTGGTCCTGGCCCGCTTCGATGATAGCATATGGATTTCGGTCTCCCCGGCTGTAGATCGACGCGATCCCTCGGGGCTCGACGCCCACCCAATCCAGCAAATGGTCGGTCACAGTATCAATCAGGCTGACCGACTCATCGGCACTTTGTTCTTCACGATCGTGGCGCCCAGAGGAGCACGGCTCGTCCGCCATGGTTACCTGCAGAGCACGGGAAACCAGTCAATTGGGGCACGAAGCCATACGCTCGACAAACCACGTCGTCCCACGCTCGACCACATAGTCAGTTTACACGAGTGGTTGTCTCCCCGACATCCTGAAACTCGATGTGTTCTTCCTCAAACCAACTACGCGACCACTCTCCTACATGTCGACCCAAGGTATGAGCATGGCGAGCCACACCATGAGGCCCACGGCCAAGACCATGAACATACCGGACGCGATCATGAATCAGGCGCCCTGGATCATGAAGACCCCGGGCAGCGCTGAAGTTTATCACCTAAAACTATGAATATGCCGGCCACAAACATGCGTTTGCCGGTCCTAAGCATGAATATGTCGAGCTAAGCATGAGTTTACCGGGCTAATCCCACGCGCACGGTCCCTAAAACATCTACAGACGCCAAAAATCATGCATTTTAACAGGAAAATGAAGAAGATAAACCGCTTACTTGAATCAAAAAGTAGGATTCGGCTACGGAGTAGAAGAATCTGTGACAGAAGATCGCGACTGGGAAAAATCTGGAAGAGCAGCAGCAGAGAGAGCACGAAGAATAGAAACGTGTTATGGGGCCCAAGGTTCCTATTTATAGTGATGACGTGGAATACCAAACGTCACCTCGGGCAACCACGAAGTCTCTCTCCCCGACGCGCTGCTCCCAACGCAATGATGACCCTATCCCCATAGGGTGGCGACACAGTTCCCGAAAGATACCTCGTATGCTCGACAGACGCGCCCCGGTGAGGATCCTCCAGGCATCCACCGCTGAAGATGCCCCCGAGCACGGCACGAGGAGGCCCTCGAGGGCCTACACCTCTGTCCCGGGCACGAGACCTCGATGAGGAAACGACCTGAGTTCAAGCTATGGCTCCTCACAAAGGAACCACGACTTGGGGGGCTCCTGTTCTGGACTGGGCCCGACAGGCCCAAAAGCATTGCAAAGACCCAGTCCAAATGGACTTACAAGGGCCACGCCGACCAAAGAGTACGACCGTGCCCGACGCATAGTCGCAGGCTCGACAGAACACCTCCAGCTCGACATGCTGTGGTCCAGCACCACATTCTGAGGTCCAGCTCGACGTTACCTCGAGCACCCCAGCTAGGGCAGACTCAGTCCACTGTTCCCCCAACGATACTCCGAAAAGACCGCGTCTCCGTCCGCCCGCACTTCACGCAGAACATCCAGGAAGGGGACCACGTGCGGGTCCCCACTACGCACGTAGAACCTGGCAGTTCCTCCATTGGGCCAAACCTGCCCGGCCCAATGAAGGAACCTTGGCCCAGCGCTGGGGGCTATAAATACCCTATGTTTCCAGAGGGTCAGGTATTCATCATTCTAACCTTACACTTGCTATTATCTGCTCGTACTCCTACTTACTTCAGCATCGGAGTGCCTTGCAGGTACCCCCCACCTCGTTCAAAAAGCTTTCTCCTCGGAGCCAGCCGTGACGGTCCATTTCTGATCAGGTCAGATCAGTAGTCATACCGAAAGGGAATGAGTGTGGTTCAAAATAATGTTTAGTTCTTTGGCTGTATAGCCTGAATTTTGTATGTGATGTTTATTTGGTAATATAATCTTGCTGATTTATCAACAAAAACGAATTTGGAGAAAAAAAATAAAATTTACTAGAGTAATTTCATTTTTCAACATTAAAGCCAAAAATAAAATAACCTAAGTAATTCCATTTATTAATTAAATATTTATTTATTATTATTAATTATAATTTTTCATTTCTTATTTATTTAATTAGTTGTTATTATTATTAACAAAAGTTTTCCCCACTAACTTTGAAAGTTTTCCCGGAAATAAGAATTTGAAAATTCAATTATCCCTTTTTCCCTCTCACAAGACGCAGCGCAACACAGTCCATAGATTTGGAAAATTTGCAGCAAAGCTAACTGAGAAATACGTTTGAAGCTTGAAGCAGAAAAGTGCAATGGAGAAGAAGCTTCGTTCATCTCTTCACTCTTCACCCCAAGAATTCCTCTCCATAGCCATAACCCAAACCCTAAAATCCTCAAAACCCTCTCTCAAAACCCTAATCCATTCCATTAAACCCTCCTCCAATCCCACTTCTTCTCTCCCTCCCCCTCTCTGCGATTCCATCGCCTCCACAATCCAATCCTTCCAGAACCTTCTCCAATCCAACTCCGACAATCCGCAAACCCCTCTCGCCACTACTCTCCGCCGCTCTTCTCGCAAACCCAACGCTGCAACTGAACAAAAACCTCGACCCGATAAAAAGCATAAACTTCTCGAACGTCTTCAGATTCTCACTCATGTTTTGTCTCTATGCGTTTCGCATCCTAAGAAAGTTTTCGATCCTGCCGATTTGCTTCCTGGAGTTCGAGCGTTGCATGATAATTTAATTGTCTTGGAGGCGGATTCTGTTTTGTCTTCGGCGGTTGAGACGCTTTGTGAAGAATGGTGGAAGGAGAATTTAGTAGGGAGGGAGTCGTTGATTTCGCAGACGCTTCCGTTTCTTCTCTCGAGGACGTTGACGTTGAAGAAGAAAGTGGATGTGCATAGGGTTTACATGCTCCGTGAAGCGTTTTTTCTGTTAGATTTTGAAGATGATAGTATTGAGGATTTGAAGCTGTTGCTGAATCGGAGTGTGATTTCGCCTTTATTTTTGAAGACGGAAGATGGGAGAAAGTTTCTGTCGTTTCTCTTCGGGCTGAGTGATCAACTTAGGAAGGAATTGTTGGCGATGATTCGTTCGCAGATTCCGTTTGGGAGGAAGTCCATGTTGGAGGCTTATGGGGATATATTGTTTCGAGCATGGAAAGCTGCCCCGGAAGATTCAAGGAGTGAAATTGAGAATGGATTCTTGCAAGATTTGGTTGAGGGGTGCATTCATGCAAGTTCTGGATCTTTTGCTTCATATATTAGGAGGGTTTTGGGAGGTTTTATCAACCAGAGGACCGTTGACGGGGTTGAGAAACTACTCTATCGACTTGCCGAGCCTGTCATATTTAGATCTCTACAGGTAAATTGCCTTGTCAAAATCATCTTTTTCCCGCCTACATTTTATAGTGTTTGAATGCTGGTTTGTTAAACTTTAAGCTTAAAGACTTTGTATTATGCCGGTGCTAAAGAAAATGTCGGTGCGTCATTTCATTGGTCCTTGAATTTTCATCAGGGTGATTATTTACACTGGTGTTGTCTTGTAAGCTTATGAGTTTCCCGACTCTTTGTGGATGACTTGTTTGTATGCATTAAATATCGTGTAAGGTGCTTTGCATGCATTCATAATCTTCTATTGTAAGTTGTAATTTGTATATGAACACTGGGCCGTGCAGATGAAAAAAAAACCAGCATATGACTTTCGAGGGCTTTGTTGGCATACCGGCCTATAGTCAGATTTTTTTTTGGATTAGCAACTTTGTAAATTATAATAAGTTATGGGAATGAATTATAATATTTAAAATAGTTTGTGATTTTCCTTTCTATGTTCAACAATTTATTTTGCCTTCTTATCAATATAGGCTGCAAACTCAAATGTTCGTCAAAATGCTTTGCACCTGCTTTTGGATGTATTCCCCCTTGAAGATCCTGATGCTCCAAAAGGGGATAAGGATACATTGATTGATAAACAGTTCTTTTTGTTAGAAAGGTTGCTTGTTGACGATTGTCCGGAAATTAGAACAATTGCTGTTGAGGGTTCGTGTCGTGTCCTTCAGCTATTTTGGGAAATTATCCCGTCGCCAATTATTACAAAGATGCTTTCAAAAATAATTGGTGACATGTCTCATGATGTATGCAATGAGGTAAGGCTTTCTACGTTGAATGGCATCATTTATTTGCTTGACAATCCCCACTCTCACGAAGTACTTAAAGTGCTCTGTCCAAGACTCGGGCACTTAATCCAAGATAATGTCCTCACAGTACAAGTCGCTATGGCAGATCTCTTGCTCCATCTAAAAGATGTCCCAAATTTTCAATTTAATAAGGTTCATATTCTTAAACTCTTATTATTTTTTAGAAATCTCTGTATCTAATTTATTTGCAAATATCATCAATTCTCACTGGTTGGCTGCCCATTGTTGTGTATGCCCTGCAGGTGGTGGATCTCAGTTTGCTTTTATCCGAGCTTGCTAGTGATCAGCCTCCTGTATCTCAGAAAATAACTAAACTTCTTGTACCTTCGTACTTTCCCTCAGTAGTGCCCATTGAGGAGGCATGTAATCGCTGCATTACACTTGTAAAAAGGGCTCCACTGGCTGGTGCAATATTTTGCAAGTATGCTATATTGGAAGGAGCGTCTCAAACTCGTCTTATGGAACTGGTAAAAGTATTTCTGAGTTTGGTTTTGTCACCAGATAAGCTGGATGCAGATCTGATAGAGGGCTTTCTTGTCGCTGCTAGCTACCTTTGTGATAACTTAACCTGTGAACCATGCTATAAGAATGTCCTCAAAGAGTTCCTTACTGCAGAGAAAGTGAAAGGTTTACTAACTGCAGCATCTGCTGAACAAGCTCAATCATCTTTATTCAACATTTTCTCCACTGTCTGTCCAGATAATGTTGAAGGACTTCTAGAGGAGGCCATGAGTGTTGTCACAAACTGCAGTGGTTTACCCGAAGATGTTGATCGCCAATCTAAGGTTAGGTCTGCACATAAGCTGTTGCTTTCTCTAGGAGGTTTTGATGACATGTTCGAAGCCTTAACGACCCTACTGCGTAAGGCTGCCTATCGCTGTCACGTTAAATTTGGTGCAGACATGCCATCACACAGTGTTAATTCTAAATCATTTGGAAAACTTTCAGTTAAAAAGATAATTAACCAAAAGCAATCTTTTGAAGATGATTATGTTGTAGCTGTTGGTGTAGCATGGCAAGTTAGAGACTTGCTGCAGCATGAGAAAACCAGGAAACGCATCTTTAAATCTCAACCTTTAGAAATGTTGTTTTTTTCACTTAAGATGGTATCTGAAATCAGCATTGTGAATTGTGGGAAGTATGAATATATTGATGTATCTCCTGTTTTGGCATATATTGCTCTTGCACTGCAAATGACGGTTGATAATGTTGGCCGAAGTAGGGGGAAAAGTGGTGATTCAAAGAGGAAGAAACGTAACATTGATTCTTCATCATTACTTTCAGAGGCAAGTACACTCCTTTTCCAATTATTTTAATTTCATGTAGATTTAGGGACTAAAATATTCTTTCCTGGAATTTGGTTTTATTTGCATCTTCTCTTGCCTAGTTGTATTTGTTGATTTTCATTATTTGCTAAAAATTTCAATGGTCTGAGGAAAAAATTAAATTGTTTTTTCCTCGAAATTTTAAGGTTTTAAGCATGATTGTTATGATATTGTAATCCTACATACCTAGCTCACCCATCCATTAACTTGAGTCCTTCCATTGTTAGAATAACCAGTTTATTTTTAGTTCTAGCTTGGTTGATCTTCTGATAAAAATACTTTTCTAATCAGACTGTATTGGATCTGACAATTGAGCACATGCTCGACTGCTTAGAAAAACTATTTGGATCGGATGACTCTATACAAAGTCGCAATGCGGGTTCATCCAACTTGAAATCAACAGCAGGGAAAAATCAAAATTCCACAAATAGGCGAAGGTTGTCTCTGACAAATGCTGGCTGCCCAAGAGGTAAGAAAATACGTTCATATTTCATTTCATGTATTGTAGTCATAATGTCTCTTAGGTCTGATAATGGGTTACGCTGCTTTGACCAAATACATGTAATTTTGCTTTTTGGCCATTATCTACTGGTTTCTTCTCTTATGATAGATATTTGACCATGGAATTTCCAAATCACTATTTGGCATTAGTTTATGAAGGAATATGGCCCTTTTGTTAATCCCCACTATAAGGGTTTATATAGAATCATGCATCTAGCCGTTTTCATTTGTTTTAACACATGATTGGTTTTTTTTGTTAACTCTAATTAAAACATTACCAGTACTATTTGAAGCTTTGAAATATGTATATCAGCTCTGGATATACATCTAGTCGATGTTTGTGACTAATTGTCTAAATCTTTTTAAATAGGATCTGTACACAGTGAAGCTCAATATGTACTTTGCAAGGTGAAGATGCTTACTGCTGTTCTCAAGTTCATTGCTGATACCGCTGCAATGTGTTTTGCTCCTCATAACCATGGATTATTTTTGAAATATACATCAAAATGCATACGACATATAGTGTCTTCATTGAACCATCTTTTTCATAACAAAATCCAATTCCATGAAGAAGATAAAAAAAATACTCTAGTTTGCCTAAAAAGCTCTTTCAGCTATGCTTCAAAAATACTCAATGTCATACTGGCAGGTTCTGATGGATCCTCCATCACGGCATCAAAAGCCTTTATTCTTGCCAATAACCTGCTTGATTTAATTGTTTCAATAGAATCATGTTTGGGTTCTGTATATGCCTCACGTCTTGTTTCAGCAGCAAGGCCTTGGCTGCCCGATGTGATTTTGGCATTGGGGTCTTTAAGTGTTCTACAAGATACTGACAGTGAAAGCGAACATGCAACTGTATGTGAACAAGTGAAGTTACATTTTCCAAAATGGCCTTTGGTTGTAGCCAAAACTGTGCTCTCTGCAGTGAATGAAGGTGAAGGAGATGTTGAAAGTTCTCAAACAGATAAATGCCCAGCATTCAATAAACTTCTGGCCATTCTGATTATATTACTAAAAAAGAATCGAAGTATAAGGGATGCAGTTGGGAATGTTTTCCTGGTTTGTTCACTTGTTGGGCTAGAACGAAAGGACTTTGAGCTGGCATTAGCACTCTTGCAGTTTGTATGTTCCAAGTTGTTTAACAGTGATGACAAGGATTGGGGTGACATGATGCTGTCTTCTCTGCAAGAAATATATCACAAGATAGAGCAGCAAATGAAAGAAGATAGAAACGAAGATGAACTGGAGAAATTAACGCATGCAAAGGAGTTGCTTGAACCTCTTTGGAACTATCATCTGTATGAAAGTAGAAAGGTTGACATGACTGATGTCTAGAATTAGTTTTTTCTTTGTTTTGTATGTCTATTTGTAGGAATTTGAGAGTACAAATTACGAAGACATTTAGATACCTGATGTATATACTCTATGCTTCTTCAATGCAATTGAAAATATAACACTAACGCAATTTAGTTTTTCAATATGTTGCCATCTTATTTTTTTTCTGTACAGAAACTGAGTTTTTCCTCCTACCCTTGACTAAAAGTTTCCACTGATTTTATAGCTTTGTTTTTGCTACTAAAAAATTATCCTCTTCAGTAATTGCTGAAAAAGGGTCACAAAGAATGACTTGTTTGAAATTTTTAATGTCTCCTTTAATATTCCTGAATTGTATATTCGGTTAAATGAGATTAAGGTAATACTAATTAGGTAGTAAACTGCTTTTTAAAACTGCTTTCTAAAGAATGGAAGCCAAAGGACTGATTCAGAATCACTTCAACATAAAATTAACAAACAGGATGCAAATTGAAGAATAGTTATTTTTACTCGAGTTGTTTCGAGGCAACAAGAGTCGTCAATATCTACAACAAGTTAAGATTTTCATCTATAATTCTGATTGCCTTGAAATTAAAAATTAAAAAAAAGAGCATGAAATAAAATTGTTAAATGGTGATTCATCAGTCGCCTAAGGATAAATGGCGAGGCTCTAGAGTTCTACTTTGCTGCTCCATTCTGATTCAAACCCAAGGCAGCCTCGAACAATGCCCAATGAGTTAGTGAATGTACACGAATGAGAGCGATCTAAAGGTCTAACAACTGTAACCATAAGAACTAACAATTACAAATCTTCACTGCTTTTTGATTAACAGATGTCATTTGCTTTCTTCAGACAGGAATCTTCTTTAAGCGAGCAGCAATAGGCATGCCCATAAATCCGACAAATAAGCAGAAGAACCATTGTACCAGAGTGAGAGGTGTTGTGTTTGCAAAGGTTCCCAAGTACTCGACTATTATGATTTGAAAGAAAATTGTAGCACTGATGACCCCCACAAAGACATAATTATCCAATATGCCCTTAAAAACATTAATTTTCTCCATCTCTCGTGAGTTTATCTCATTGAAAACCTGCAAAACCAGACCAACCCAAAACTGCTAAGCCACATTCATATGACAGTTAAACATCACATGCTTTTAACTTGACCTTTCCTAATTTACCAAACAATCATAATTATTATTCCAAAACAAGTAGTTCAACATTTTCAGAAAAAGTACCTGACAAAGGACAAAGGAGTTGAAGATAAGTGTGTTTAAGACTAGATCCGAATTGGGGCCATCGAGTGCAAAGATGGATTTTCCTTTTGATTGAAGAAGCCATATCACCATAAACTGATACAGTGATTGTCCCATGATATTCCTCCACATGACATTGCTGATGAAATTTCCTTTTCTTCCAACAGGTGAACGCTTCATTAAATCATCATTTGGAGGTTCAGTTGCGAGCGCAAGTGCTCCCAATGTGTCCATTATCATGTTCACCCATAAAAGTTGAACAGCAGTGAGAGGAGCAGTTCCTGGAGAGAAAATGTATTTTATATCATAAAGTATAAGGAATCGAATGTTTCCAAAATTATATCGGGTCATCATGTCTCGCAAACTGATATGAAGTCCAAATTTAAAGTAGAGATATTAATCTAACTTTCTAACCTGTCAAGCAGGCTGATGTAAAGTTCACTATTAAAGCAACCACATTAACTGTAAGCTGAAACTGTACGAATTTCTGAATATTTACGTAAACAGAACGTCCCCATTTGGCCACAGTTACTATTGTCGAGAAGTTATCATCCAGAATGATGACATCTGCACTTTCTTTTGCAACCTGCACACATAATGTAATTAGCAGGACTCTGGTATTATCATTGCATTCGAAAACAAATTAGTGAATAAAATGTAGTACAGCCCCTTTTCTTTTAATTTGGTATCAGATATTTGACACGCACCTCTGTTCCAGCAATGCCCATGGCAAGTCCAATGTCAGCTTCATGAAGGGCCGGGGCATCATTTGTTCCATCACCAGTTACAGCTACAACTTCCCCAAATGTGGTACGCAGGTGTTTCACCAATGTATGTTTGTCTAAAGGCGATGATCGAGCCATAACCTAAAAGAAAATAAACATTTATGTTACTTAAAGTATCATCCATAAATCATCTTTAACTAAAAGATAGATTGGTAATGAAGCAATCAAGAAGTAGGCAATAGAAGAAGGTAAAAAAAACCTGAATTTTGGGAATCAGCACAAGCAACTCTTCCAAACTCTTCTCTCTAAATTCTGGACCTTCAATGGCTATGCCATCATCGGTTAAAATCCCACATTCCCTGGCTATAGCCTTTGCAGTATTAATATTGTCCCCTGTAACCATTCTTACGGTTATTCCAGCTGAACGACATAGTGCTACAGACTCCTTAACACCAGGACGAACAGGATCTTTGATACCAACAACTCCTATACAAGTGAATCCAGTAACAGGAATGGTGTCTTCGGCAGAGAACCCGTTTTCCAATTCCATATAGGCAAGGCATAAAGTTCTAAGTGCCTCATTAGCAAATTGGTTTATTGTAGTCTGAAGATGGTTAATTGATTCTTCATCAAGTGGGACAACATCGCCGTTAGAGTTGAGAACTTTGTCACAAGCAGCAAGAACTATTTCAGAAGCACCTTTACAGTGTGCTCTTAAACCTCCACTAGGGAGCTCCACCACTACACCCATTCTTTTCTTAGTTGAGTTGAATGGCTCAACTTTAACAAGCTTGCATGCTTGTCTCTCTCCTTGAAAATCACCACCTAATGACAAGCCAAATTCCAATATCGCAGTCTCGGTTGGAGTCCCTAAAATCTCATGTTTCCCTTGTTTGTTAACCACAACCTCTCCTCCAGTGTTGTTAAAAATTGACTGTAGCAGCAGTTTCACAGAAGATTCTGGGAGTTCAGAGCACAAACTAGAAGTCTTGTTGTTAACTTCCTTGCTTTTCATACAAATGCACGTTTTCACAACAGTCATGTGATTGGTTGTTAGTGTCCCGGTTTTGTCACTACATATAGTTGTGGCTGATCCCATGGTCTCACATGCTGCCAAGTTTCGGACAAGGGCTTTGTCGTTCATCATTTTTTTCATAGCAAATGCAAGGCTCAATGTCACAGCTAATGGAAGCCCTTCTGGAACAGCCACAACAACAATGGTAACTGCAATTGCAAAGTACTCCAACATCTCCAAAGCATCATCCCCATTCCAGCTCCAAAAGCTTTCTTGTTGGAGCTTAGCGCTCACAAGTCCTTGCATTAGAACCGCAAAAGTAACAACAGCGAAGAATAGGCCTATTTTCCCAATAATTGTTGCCACTCCATTAAGTTTCACCTGTAATGGGGTTTCATCATCACCACCTTCACTGAGAGTAGCCATCAACTTACCCCATTGAGTCCTCATTCCAACTGTGGTTATCAACATCTTGCATGATCCATCTTGGACCTTGGTTCCTGAAAGAAGAAATGGATTTTCGGAGTTCACCACCACAGGTTCACTCTCTCCTGTTAAACTTGATTCATCAATCAACAGAGAATATCCAGAAACAAATAGTCCATCAGCAGGGACTTGGTCACCAATGGCAAGATGAACGATATCACCAGGAAGTAATTCATATATAGACATTTTCTGCCTATATCCGTTTCTAGTGACCTGAATGGAAATTTTCTTCTTCTCCCTGTCCAAATCTTTGAACTGTAACGATTGACGATAATCACTTGTTGCAGTCACAAACACAACCAATAAGATACTTGCAACAATTCCAAGACCATCATGAGCTCCCTTGGGCCATCCTTCTGTTGCAATGCCAACAATCAGAGACACAAAAGCACACACTCCAAGTATCATGAGAGTCATGTCTTGAAGTGCTTCCCAAACAAAAACCCAGAAGCTTTTCGCTTGACTTTCAGTGAATTTATTGATTCCATATATCTGTTGTCTTTTATCCAGTAAATCAGTCTCATTGCTAATCCCATCGGTGGTTGATGTACAAAGCTTTTCAGCAATGCCATCAATGTTACCATGATATTTCAACTTCTTTACGTCATGTCCTTCAACAACAGACCCCAATTCATCGCCACAGATTTGAAATCCTGCATCTTTAACATACTCCGGCACTTTGTAATCACTTGGTTTCGCGCCTGTGGATATGATCGGAAGTAAATATATTGCCTCTAATTTTTTGAAAGCTATGGAAATAATGCTGAAAAAACATACCTTGGATAAATTGAAATGCTGCTTTGGAAACCAAAACTGCAACCCTCAGCTTCTCCTGCAATAAGGAGAGAATAAGTCTTTTGAGAAATAAAACATGAAGATGTCACATTCTATGTATTGAAGAGAAAACAGAGGAATAACTGTTTACAGTACTTATACTTAATAAATATTCCCAAATCCTCTATTTTAGAAAAACAGTTTTCTTATGGTATATAAGCGCATAAGTGTGAGTGAATCATAAGCGTAGAAAAGGAAAGCAAAATCAAAATGTTGGTATTTTTCTTAAACCGATTTAGGTAGAGAAGCTATGAATGACATGTAATCAAAATGTTGGTATTTTTCTTAAACCGATATAGGTAGAGAAGCTATGAATGGCGTGTGTAATCAAAATGTTGGTCAGCTAGCTTCTGTTGTTTCCATAAATATTTTGAAAAGTTTCCATTTTATAATTTGTACTATGCTAGTAAAATGCATTTAATGTTTGAATTACAATCCATACCCATGAACAATACCAAACTCAATACACTAGATTAGGTAATTTATACATTTATGTTATTTATGGAATGTAGCCACATTTTAAATTGCCAAATAATCTACTAGATATGCTCTAGATCTGGAACATACAAATACTTAAGGTTAAGGGTGAAGTTTATGCTTTTATTCGAAATTGGTAAGAATACTATATAAGCAGCAGTCTTGAACTTAACAACCGTGAAATCAAATGAAAAATGAGAAAGATAATGTTAAGAAAATGTACTTGAACT